TTTTTAAGAAGTCCTTCAGAATGTTATTTTAATCACAAATTGATTTACCAAAAAAAGGTATTTTTCCAATAAACTTTCACTATGTAAAAATAAAATACATTTTTAAACTTACCTTAAAGCTATTATCGGAAAATATTACCATGAAATTATGTTTTTACTTGTAAAAGTAATTTTCACGGTGCAGTTCATCGTTGTTGTACACTGTACGTGTGGTGGCAGAGAACTAAGCCCGCTTAATGGGAAGCTGCTGATCAGGACTTATTTAAAGTTTTTGTTCAAACGTAAAATGTATATACTTTTGCCAATGCCGGCTTGAATATTACAATCACTTTTTCTATACAGAACCTAACGTTATTTGTTCCAGTGTAGACCTGCTGGCCCGGATCAAACTGCCCAGCTGCGGATCGCTTGGCCCCCTCTGAGCCAGGAAAAAATGAAGCAACAGATTGAGACGAAAGCACTAGCCCCGAAAATAGAAACGAAGATGAAAAAGTTAAACATTTCAATTTGAGCATCGCTTTAATTAGCATGCGCTTGTTCATTGTTTTCCGTTTTTGTGCTTTCCATCGAGCGTTTGATTTGTGTCTCGCATTTGCGTTTCGGTGTTCGGATTTTGGCTTTTAGCTTTTAGCCATCCCGGCTTGATTAGCGTGCCCAACGGAGGCTGCCCAGCTTGGCCCGAAAGCGAGGTCTCTTGGCCTGGTCTTTGACTTCGAACCCGAGTCCGAAACTCTGGAGGCGCACTCGCTTTGTGGGTGGCCCCTAAACGGCTTACTTCGCTCTGCTACTTTTTCCTCTGGGCCACCTTTTGTTCGGCCAGGGCTTTCTTGGCCATGCCGATGATTACTGTGAAATTGGCAATGTTTAATGGTCGCTCCAGCTCAAGTGTCTTTTGTGTCTAACTACTTTTCTCTTTGATGAGTTTTCTTTTCTGCCGTTTTACTTATTTCGGCACAAAACGCTCGAGTCGGAGGACTTTCTCTTTAATTCTCGAGTCAAAGGCGGACATTTCTGCCAACTAAACAATAAGGTAATGACTACAGCTTGGTTAATCAAGATTTAAGCTAGAAATATGACAAATTGGTGGCTAAAGTTGTAAGGAAAGTTTGTCAGTCGTGGGAATATTTTAAGGGGTTTTATTTAGTGTTGATGAAAAATGAAACCTACTTATTATAATGAAAGTAAAAATACGGATGAAGAATATTAAAAATACTAATTTTTATAAAATAATATTGTTAAAATGTGAAAACATCTTTAAAATAAATAGATCGATTTTTAATTTAAAGTATACAAACCGAACTTTTTATTTTTAACCCGAACTGTAAACACTAAAATTCCAATACAATTTGGTGTAATATCAATAATCCATTTACTTGCAGTTCAACTAATTGGAAATAATGACTTGCCAGCGATAATCCAGCATGGCTAACTCCCAGGCGCTTTTGAATCATTTTGGGTCAATCGAACACACCCAAGTCGAGCGGACAAAGTAAAGGCGGCTTAAATGCATAATTATCGTCTAGCCATCGGTAGTGATTTTCGACATGCTACCAAACAGCCAGTCGATTCCAATCTCGTGATTTGTATCTGCCGCACAGGCAACATCAAGTGGCAGTGACGGGCATGTGTCAATGCTGCGTGGGTCGCTGGCTGGAAATCGGATCCGAAAGTGACTCCATGGCATATGCAAATCGCTCGGGGCTCAGGGCAACTAAAAAACACACAAAAATAAATTTGTTTATGGAAGCTGTGACTACGGGCTGTGGCTGCCGTTGAAAGCTTGCTAATTGACAATTACAGACAAGTTGGGGGTTGTTACAGAAGTTGGGGGTTTTATGACAACGGATGCAATACACTAGCTCCAATGGAATCAAGTATACATACATTTATGCATACATTATTAAAGTGAAGGGACTTAAAAATTGATAACAATTTTGTTATCCGCTCTAAGCAATGATCAGCTAAATAAAGGTATATCAAATAAATCGTATTCTTATAATATTGGATTTAAATAAAACCTTAAAAAAAATGTCTTTTGGAAAAGATTAAAGATCTGAGGATCTTAAAAGACTTAATTTTAAAATCTTATGTATTTCATTTTAAATATTAGAATATCTTTGTTCCTGAAAAATGTTTTCAAAATGGTACGATAGAGAACATTAAATTATAGGTTAAGAAAGTCACCTATTATATTTAAAACTATGACCATTCATTTCTTATTGCGCTGCTTAATATAAACTCGAGCTTAAACAGCTGGCGAACTAGTACTTATGAGCCATTTAGATACATGATGATAGTGACGATCTAAATTACAGAAAATCTATCGTTTCCGGGGGAGCCAATCAGGAACTGAATCAGCTGCCCCGGCTGCTTTGTCCACCATTATCCGGCAGCTGCCACCGAGTCGATAAATCAAAGAAATCGTCGCCCTGCATTTAAATTTGAATATTAATGAACCCTTTCCCGGCACTTTCACCGCAGGAGTTTATCAGCGTGTGAATGGAGCCACACACAGATGGGAACTAAGAGGGGGCACAGGTGTAAATTGACTTTCCCCGCGAAGGATTCGTCGACTTCAAGGACCTGGCATAATTAACACGGCGGCTTTTCCCACGCAGCCACCGTGTGTATCTAATAGATACAATAATAGCCGCCGAGAACAAAGGGGAAATGGGCAGAAGAAATTAGAATTATAAAAATACAGAAGCGCTAAACGCGGGGAATCAAACGCACCGCTCGCGGCGAGACTCAATCACAAGTCGAATGCTCAAATATTTGTGTGATTAGTCCTTATCAACAGCCGCTCTCCCGGAGCATCAGGTAGTAGTGGTCTCTGGACCTCGCAAAGGGTCCCGGATAAGGTCGGCACCCAAGAACCCGAGAACCAAAGAACCCCTGAACCCAAGAACCCGAGACCAGACCCACTGCGGCTAAAGTCGAGCGCTGAGCCTGCGGTGGTCGCCGGCGATTCCTTTCTCGTTTAGCGCCCTGCTGCGACGGCAATTGGCTTCGATTTTCGATTCTTCGTTAATAGACCTCTGGCCCTTTGTCTTCAGACGCCTTGACGCCTTTGTGCTGCCGGCACTCTGCCGCCGCTGCTACCATGTACTCCTTTGTTCTCCGCTGTTTGTTGCAGCAATTCGCATTTGTTTCAATTAAAAGGATTTGGCGTTGTTTGTTGGGCCTCTGGGTGTCAGCGATTGCCTTCAAGTTGGCTAAGACGTGTGGACAATTGCAAATTGGCTGGCATTTAAATGCAGCTCGATGTCGGGCGGCAGGGATCACACACATGGAATGTTTGAAGCCATTGAATAAGAGCCATTTTTTACAGTCCATATTTTCGATATTTATTTCGATATTTTTAGATATTTAAGTAGTTTTATGCGAAAAAAACATGACGTTAGGCTATAATTCACTTAAATGTCACCAAACTAATATCCGTCTGAAATGTTCGAGCATAGATTGAAAATACCATATTCATTACTCAAACCAATACCTACCACCTACCACCTACCACCTACCCCGTAAATGTATTATATCTGCATATTGAACTCAACATTTCGTATTAAATATTCGAATTATGTGCAAAAGCATAATATTCAACAAGAAACATATTTAATGGCATTTCTTAATTTGGAAAAATTATACCAAGGCAAAAAAATCGATACAATGTTATGTTATCCTTAAACATTTAAAGTCATTAAAAAATTATATTTTCTTTAAATCAATTAAATTGACTTTTACTGTTAAATCCATACTTAATATAATATGTTGATGCTATGACAATAATGATACTCCGCTTATAAATGTCAATGTTTGTATAAATTGTAGTCACTTTCAATGTACAAATGTACTTATTTAAGAGAAAAATATTCGACTATTATCACATTTATAAAGCCTTTTACAAATTATATTCACAATTCTTTAAAAGATTACTAATTGCTAAGATAAAGATTGTAGCTCTGATTGAACTCGAAAAAGTTTTTAAAAATGAGAACTAGAAAAAGATCCAATTTAAATATTTTGCCGTCGGAACTGACAAAATTAAGTTCCATCCCGGAGAAATGGCTGTGAAAAAATAATGGTATTATTCGGACTCCAAATAAAACTAATGGGAGTGAAACAAGTAATCCGGACAATTAGTTTCAATTAAACAAAGTGGCCCCTAACCAATATCCGCTAAAAATAGAGAGTATTCCTTCCCATTCAACAGAAACTGGCCCCATTTCCATTCTCAGACCCAAATTAATTTTCAAATGTCTTCAAATTTATGCGCAATTTTTATTTGCCCCACCGTTTCCTTTTCGTTTTTTATCTTCCACCAAATTAATTGTTCGTTTTTCTTACAGCAAATTAATTGCAAACGCTTGATAATTAAACGCGGGCTGCCTTCGGGGGTCATCGTCATTAATGCTAACTGTGCGGGGGGTTACGAGCCCCACTCGCTTGGGGGAGGGGGCTTTCAAAGGGGGTTTTGCACTCCTCTGCCGCGGCCGCTGCCGGCGTCGCCGTCGACGCATCTGGAGTTGTGAAAACTTTGCAGCGACTAAAATACTAAATACAGTCTCGTTACAATCTGAGGAGCGTGCGTCTCGCTCGCACCCGCCGCCTGCCATCCCTCTCGCACACCAGTCGCATGATGAACGCCATAATTACCGTTACGTATACGCCACCATTGCTATTTTTTGTTGCTGTAGCCGATTGGTGCTGAGAGCTGAGCAGAGCGGGATGGCAGCCGCAAGGTGCTATCTCGCTCTGCCGCAGAACGGGTTTGCTCTCTCGCCAAGAGAGCGCAGTTATGATTTGATTGCGAGAGAGGGATATAGAGGGAGAGAGAGAGAGCGAGCGATGCGAAGCGAGAGGGCGAGAAAGAGAAGGAGTGGGAGAGGGAGAGGAGCGAAGAGAAGCGCGGCAGCAAAAGAACTGAAGAAATATCGACGTGTCTAGTTAGCAAACCAATCTTCAATCTAGTTTCGAACAGTTGACTGCGAAGCGTCGAGTTGAGAGGTCCTACGCGTCGTCGTGTCGAAGCCCCAGTGTTGACTGCTAATCAGAAGAAAATAACAAGATTCGAGTTCGGGACTGCCATCCTCAGTAGCCCGTCGTCAGTGAAGTGATAAAGCCGTTCCACAAAAATAAGAAATAGAAAAACAGTTTAGTGCTCCAACTAACCCAAAGCAAGCGAAATCCCCGGACAACAAAACCAAGTGCTGTAGCGAACCTAATGCTCTGCCCTCCAACCATGCGTCCGGCCAGTCCCGCCGAATCCGAGATCTCCGTGGGCGGAGCACCCAGCCCGCTGCCCACGCAGCACCATCCGCATCCGCATCCGCACGCGCATCCGCTGCAGCATCCGCGGGCCAGCACCATCGATCTGCTGCAGCAACAGCAGCTGCTGATGCAGCACCATGCCGCCGCGGCAGCCGCAGCCGCAGCAGCGGTCTCCGGCCTCAACCGGAGTGCCGTCGGCAACCTGCCGGAGGACTACTTCCAGCCGCTGAAGCGCCTGCGCATGTCCTCCTCCTCCTCGGAGCCGCGGGAGCACACGCCCAGTCCGCCGCCGGTGGTGCCGGAGCCCCAGACCAACCAGACCACCAAGTCGGCCATCGAGGGGGTCAAGAGCTTCTCCATCGCGGACATCCTGGGTCACTCGGAGAAGCAGCGGGAGGAGTCCGTTTCGCCGCCCCCAAATGCCGGCCTACTGGCTCCACCCGCCTCCCGACCCATGGCCTCCTCGGGGGGATTACTGCAGCCGCGGACGGAACCCCTTGACGTCCATCCGGCCGCCGCTGCCGCCATGCTCTTGCCCAGCGGACAGATTGTCCGGCCGTGGGACCACCTTCTCGGTCCCGCCATGCCCGTCCGCCCCTTCATCCCCTCAGCCCTGCTGCACTACGAGCAGCGCCTGGCCCTGGACTACCACCGTCAGCTGCAGGAGCACTTCAACGCCCAGGCGCAGCTGCTGCGCCACATGGGCATGGACATCATTCCGTCGGAGAGCGGCTCCGACCGCTCCAGTTCGGCGGCCAGCGACTGCTGTTCCCCGGAGATCGCCAGGGATTCTGCAGCAGCCGCTGCCGCCTCCGCCGCCAGTGTCCGCCGGAGTCACAGTCCGCAGTCGTCGGCCCAGGCCGGAACTAGTGGATCCACGAGTGCTTCAAGCCCCCCGCAAGGAGCAGCCGGAGCAGGAGGAGCGTCCAGTGCCGCCAGCAACGCCGCCGCCGTTGCCAAGGCCAAGGCCAATGGCACTCCCCTGGATGCACTCTTCCAGATGACCACCAAGGACTTTGACGAGTCACAAGGTAAGCATCTTGAGTAGAGATATAAGATATAAGATAGTTAGATATATGTCATAGATAGATACATAGATATGTATATCATAGATAGATAGATAGATAGATAGATAGATAGATAGATACGTATATATATATATCCAAATTATAGATAGGAAGATAGATAGACAGATGGATACATAGTTGTATACCATAAATAGATAGATATAGATCTCATAGGGATAGGGGATTCATATTGGGAAGAATACTACTTTCTGTTGAGAAGATTCAGTTGTTCTATGTTCCTTTTTGTTTTCTATTACTGAAAAAATCATTTTATTATTATTTTGGTTTTTTTTTTTTAAATTACAATTTGAATAAATCTAAGTATTTACTATATGAAACAGAAACATATAAAACAGATAAGCCTAGAACTTTACTTATTACATTTCACTACCCATACCATACATTTCCGCTCACTTAAGATCGCCAGCGATTTTTAGTCAGAGTGCTTCGATTGATAAATGTCTCAATTTCCTTAATGAATTTACGCGATTTCTTAATTAGAATAAAAGCTTCTAATTTGTTATCGTTTGGATATGGGGGATATTGAAAACACAGCAGCTGAATATTCAGCTTGTTATGATGTTTGCCATTTATCAATCAGCAAATTCGTATTTCGTTTAATTGAAATAAATGGCCCGCTTACCCCGCTCCCCACCATTTTAGAGTCTTTTGTTATGTAAATTCCTGAACCGATTCGATTTCGGTCTTTTAATTAATTGGCAGCATGCGCCAGTGGCAGACAGAAATAAATGGAACAAGTTGGCGATAAAATATGAGGCATTTAAGGGAATCGTATTTAGTTCTTCAACTTTGAAAGTATAGTATAGTAATGGTCACACAGTTCAAAGCGATAGTCATCCGAGGGCATTTTGTGGGCGTTTCAGTACTACCCGCCCCCACCTCCCGAAAACCTGACAGTGATTTCATGGCAATTAATGGTTAATAGTGCGCACTGTCCGCATTAGTATATTTGTGTAGTCGTGTCGATTCTGCAGCGATTAGCAACAATTAGCTGGCTGGTGCATTACCTAATCGAGTTTTGTTGCTGCGGCTCCTCGGCGAACAATTAACATTTGCTACTCAAAACTAATGGCTGACAAACTCTAGCCCCGACTATATAGTGGCTATAGCTCCAGTCGTAAACATGTTTTAAAACCCACTGAACGGCGATTAGCGACGACACCCGCCGTTGTATAATGCCGTATCTGCGAGTATTAAGTTGACAAAATACACATATTACTGTTTATCATGGATTGTATAACGCGTAGACGAAATATTTACGACGGATCTCTTTGGTTTTTCGACTTCGGAGGCGTCGTTTGTCTATCAGCAGCACAGACTGCAGTTCAGATAGGCAGCTGCGAGGATATGGGTCTCTCTTAACTTATGACAATATCCCATTAATATCACTCACACTGTAATGGAATGGAGATACTTCCACATTCGTAGGGAACTCATTTCTGAACTCATTTTGCGGTTGTATCAACTGGTTTTTTTTATTTTTTCCCGTAAAGTAAGTCCCAGACGTAGCGTCGCCCTGGTCTGGCCAAATCCTAATTGCAATTCCCAGTACTCGCGCCAAATTGAAACATAAAATCCCCGTGGCCAACTGTTGCTCTGCAGGTTCCTCGAAAACCGATCGGGTTTCCCTAGCATTCGGGACATGGAACTTTGACAAATGCGACCAAAACAAAACTCCCCCTAACTAAGGGCCATATTTATTGTATTTATGCCCTGTAAGTGGACACCTGAGAGGGTAAAAGGATACCCAAGTGGCCCCTGCCCGTCGCCCTTTCTCCAGAGATAAGTCAGGGAAATTACTTAATGAGGCCCCGATAAAAACAAATACGAAATAGCGGCGGAGAAAGAGGGAGAAAGGCTAGGAGAAAGGGAGGCGTGCAGTCAAGTGCCTAATGGGTTTTGGGTTACAAAACGTGCTCGAGATAACAAATGACCAAATTATGCATTTCGAATACATGTATAATGGTATGGAAAACGGGTATACCCACACCCATTCTCCGGGGACTTCGTTTGCATTCGGTTGGAGGGCATTTAATTAGTTTTTAATGTCGATCTAGTTTGTTTGACAAGCAATCGGAATGGGTGTGAAGCCATCGTCCGGCGAACCGGTTAGCCAATATTCAATAGATAAATATTTATGCTGATGATCGCCGATCGTTGATCGCTGATCGCTGATCTCCTTCGATCGCTTTGATTGGCACCGCGCCCGGGATTTTGCACCAGGAAACGTTATGCAAGCTCAATCAGCGCTTTAAGTACGGGTCAGTGGCTCATTAATCAAGCCTTGGCTACGTGTGCCACTTAAAACTGATTTGTAGGTGTCAATAATTATTATAAATCACACTACAAACGAGACAAATGAGCAGCTGCCTTGCATAAGAAAGCTGCGGTCGTCATTAGACCCACAAAGCCAATGAACGCCCACAACTCGCGCAATCAATCAACTCGAAATTATACACTTCAAGTCGCGAGCCCAGCTCTCAGATGCGAGATTTGAGATCTCAGAATAGCAACTGCAATTGCGCTTGCAATTGCATTCATAAAATGTATCAATCACGGCATTTAAATCAACACGCGCCCAGTTTGGATCGACAATTAAAGCCGAATGCGAAGGCGCTCGTTAGTAACCGGTTCTCCAAATGCCAGGCATCGCAGAATTCCCCTTGAATGTAGCCAACACTAATTAATTTGAAATTATATTTGCCAACTTAAGATCATATATTAGGCGAGGCAATAAAGATTTCTCTAAATGCCAGGCATTGCAGAATTTCCCTTGAATTGAAACAGACTTGGGGAAACCAACACTAATTAATTTGAAATTATTGTTGCAACAGCTAGAAAGTTTTCATCACAGATTAACAATAACAGCATACTTTAAATCTAAGGATAAATAAAGTTCTTAAAAACTAATCAATCTCTGCTTCTTCTACCATTTTAGATAAATCCCATTTGGACATCTTCTCGAACCGACCGCAGCCGAAGAAGAAGCGCAAGTCGCGCACCGCCTTCACCAACCACCAGATCTTCGAGCTGGAGAAGCGGTTCCTCTACCAGAAGTACCTGTCGCCGGCCGATCGCGACGAGATCGCCGCCTCCCTGGGCCTGTCCAATGCCCAGGTGATCACCTGGTTCCAGAACCGGCGGGCCAAGCAGAAGCGGGACATCGAGGAGCTGAAGAAGGACTTCGACAGCGTGAAGGTCTTCTCCGCCCACAAGTCCTTCCTCGAGAACGTGAACGACCTGAGCATCCTGAAGAAGAAGCCCATGCACGAGGCGGATATGGTGGGACTGGCCGCTGCCGCAGCCGCCGCCGGAATGGTCGTCCCCGTGCCGGGATCCGTTCCCATGGGTGGGGCACCGCCCAAATGAGGGCGTGGCCAGGTGCGCACCGAACCGCCAAGGCAACCTGATGATGGTACAGAAAGTGAGCAACGAGGAGTCGAGTATTTTGTTTAATTTTGAGTCGAGTGCCGGGGAAGTTGGGAAGTTGATTTCTAGCCCATCGGACATTCCCCAAGGCACAAGACGGCCAAAGGAAGTGCCAGGACATCCTTAAGAGCTTCCGAGGCCAATAGGAAGAGGGCAAAGGCAACATTCACTGCCAAGCCCATATGGAGAAAGACCAGCCAGGACCAAGGCCCTTTTTAAGGGCCCGCAAACAAGCCAGAACAATCATAACCGGAAACGGAAGTCGAAATGGAACCAGCCAGAACCAGGATTCGGCCTTATAGCCAGGATCACATCGATTATATTCAACCCAATCGGCTCTTTTTAGAGCCACCAAGCGGATGAGCAAAGAGACTTTGTAATTTTCTTAACAAAGATTATTAAAAATGATTTAATTGAATAAACTTAGTTATGCGTATTAATGTATAATCACTATTAATGAACACATTTCTCTTATTACATTCTAGAGTACATTTAAACTAGATAGTAATTCAACAAATGGTAGTTACTTCATAAAGACAAAAAGCTGGATAAAACATTTACCATCCCCAATCATCAGATTCCCACTTTACCCGTCGTTTTTATGTTCCTAATATTATTTAACAATTCTTTTGTTACCACATATTTATACATATTTAACAGACTATGGCCATTATATTACCAAGATTTTATTACTTTTTGAACTTTGTTCGAGTTACAGAAAACCCGAATCGACAGTTTTGAAATACATCTGTATTCCCCAACCAATTAGCGTTCGAAAGCGAAATCTGTTTCACTCCAATTAATAATTTGAGGCGAACAAAGGGAGATACAAAAGACCGCAAATTGTTGTCAATAAATTTAAGCATATTTAAGCAAACAAAGCTCAAGTCCCAGCCAGAGCTACCATTTGGCCCCTCATGAGTCGGTGAGTTCAATTCGAATCGAATTTGTGTATCTGGATGCCCGTTCTAATTTGAATACTCTGCTGCTGCCCGATCGATCTTAATGATCTTGCTACGTATTTTGTTGAGTGGCGGAGAGTCTTAAAATAAAAGAAATCTTTTTTAATTTTTATTAATGATTATTTACAACCGTTATTCATAAATTCAAACTAATTAATTATTAATTTAATCACTTGCCACGATCGAAAACGAGTTGGCCAAAAACTCCAAAAAAAGCACAACACTTTTAAGTGTGCAAAGCCGAGCGATGAGATGATGTGATTGTCTTTGCAGATTTGTGCACGGCGCCAATTTGCATACGAAATTTACTCGAAGTTATTTCGATATTTATTAATTTTCGAAGCGATCGTTTTCATAAATTTCCAACTGGAAGCCGCCTGCTCCGCGGCTACCGTTTGCGGCAAAGTTCAAAGGTGGCCCATCATCGCCAGCGGCGCACACATTTTTCAATCCCAACCCGAGGAACTGAGAAACCGAGAAGGTGACCTGCGAGCTCTCCGCGACTGAAGTGCGCCATCAATCTCGGTCTCGAAGCGGACTCTCTCAAGCGAACCCAACGAACTTGGCCAGCAGCCGATCGTTTGTTAATCATTTGAATAATCAAGCTATCAATTCCGCTGCTAATGATGCCCGATACCGATACCAATCCAATACGATCCGATTCAAAGCCACCAACTGGCCCATCCAAAACCCACTACTAGTATCTCACAGTTCGTAAACTAGACGGGAAAATGGATAGATGCATATGGATGAGATGCAGATCGACGATCCATATCCGAATCTCGGCCGAAAGCAATTTATTTTCATTTCCAAACGTGTGACAATGCAACGCATGCGCCGCGATAAAGAAGCTCTTAGAGCCCCCGAAAAGCCCCCGATTATTGGGTCTTGTGCGTTATTAATGCGCCTGGAAAGCGGCCCGGCGAAAGTATCACCGAACAGCATTTAATTGAAATTAAGATTGAGTTGTACTTCAAATTACTGTAGCCATTACCGGTGGCATTTGTTTTATTGGCTGAGAAAATTTGCCAGCCAAGTGTAGGTAAACTGTGCCGGGCTCTAATTATGGGAAAATCTCTCTGGCCACTTCCGTGAAAACAAACAGAAATGCGTAAATGTCGAAACCCATTAATCGAATGAACTAAAAATGACTAATGAACCTACCGCACAGAAGTGGAAGTGCCTCATGAGCCTTACAACCCGCTTTAATGGGGCCAGGTGCGAGTAAAATCGCCGTTTCCATGATTACGGTGTTGAGTAAGTTGGGAAATCGGTGGCCAGTTAATAAAATTAATAGCTTGGCTTTGGATAGCTCATAATATCAATGGGAAGAGGGTCGCACCGATCTGCTGGGAAGGAACACATATCTAGGTATTATTCATTTGGTTTTAAATATAAGTGTTCTTGCGAAAATAAGGTTCAAGGTGTTAATATGCATTTTATTAAGCTTTAAATGTTACAAAAATTATATTTTTTAAATATTTTAGCGTTCTATAAACTAAAAAGGGTATACTGGTTTTTAAATAAAACATTGTCCTTCAGTAATGTTATAGTAACATCAGTTTTTATTGGACATAATTCATTCAACACCACAATTGGTTTCTATACATTCTTAGTTAATAACCAAAACTATATATAATATAACAGACATCGGGGCAATGATTAAAATATTAAAAATAAATAGGAATGCTCTTAAAGCCGCCCATTTAAAAGGTTTGATTAGATCTTAATACGGAACTAATAAAAACGTCAAGTAAGTACCTGACCCTTTTAAACTTTTGTTTCTTCCCGAAAACTTTTCGGGGACCCCGTCCTCCACTTGGCTGTCCGATCCTTGACTAAACGCGTTGTCTGCCCTGCTCAGCCATATTGTCAGCAATTACTCAACGTTTCCCCTGTCAGGTGATCAAGTGCCGGCACACAGATGCAGATACAGCTACAGCTACAGATACAGATACAGAAACCCGACGAACGACCTACATCAAGTGCCAGTCTGGGATGCAGATGCATCTGCATCCCGAAGTCGGACCTGGACTTCCAGTTTAACTGGCGCCGCGTTGCCAAAAGATGAAAAGTTGCCCTCGCGGCGGTTACAAACGACTGGAGTGCTGATTATGATAAATGTAAACAATTCAGCTTGGCACACAAATGCAATCAAAGGACTGCAATTACAACTTAGTTGTGAGAGCGGGCCCAGAACCGGTTTGGAGAGGCAGGGGCCAGGGAGCCGGGGAGCCGGGGTACGGAACCCCCAAGAGGCCGAGAGCCAGAGCCCGACTTGGCCAACATCCGCATCTCCAGCTCTCTTCCTGCCAAGTGTGCGAGTATCTATGTGCCGCTCGTTGGGCATGTGTGCGTGTGCGATAGAGATATAAAAGCTAAATTGGTAACTCATACTTAATTTGTTGGCGGCACCTTTGAACACGCTTCCAATTAGCTTACAGCCGACACCTCGGGCCGGCGACTTGGCCACGTTTTGGGCCACAGGATAATGCCGCATGGGGCATGGAAATGATGCAGCACAAAAGGGGATACGGCCGCCGAGTATCGGAGTACCAACCGATGGCAATTTGTTTCTGCTTTCTGCGTTTCTTATTTCTTATTTCTGATTTCTGTTTCAGTTTCTGATTCATTTCATTCATCCCGGCATCTTGATCGTGACGCGGCATATTTCGATAGAGGACTCAAAAACATCAGAGAAAAACCCACAATAAACCCACAATATTTTCCGATTCATGAATGAAATTTTATGATTCGTTGCGATCTTACAAAGCGTTAATGAAGTTGTAAATTGTGGAAAGCAACATTAACATTTGCTGTGCCCCAAACCAGATGAAAGGTCGATGAAAAATACCATTTACTTCGTTCGTAGCCCAAAGGGTTTTAAAAAGAAGTAAATTATGCTGGCTTGCCGAAGCACAATTAGCTCTAATTGAGATATACATCTAATTATATTGATACCATTTTAAGATATCTTCTAGATGATGTTATTGAAAAATTATCATTAGTCATACAAATTTATATTATTTATTTTAGAATACTTTGTTAATAATTAGTATCTGTTACTTTCTGTCTTGTAAAAACATCGGAATTTTTATATCCGGGATACAATTGTATTTTTAACAAACCTAATGTTATATGATTTTGTCAGATCGGCTTCAAAGCACCTCTTGCAGTTGCATTGGGACCAAATTTGGTAGTCCCCCAATCTGGTAGCGACTAATTTATATCACGATAAGATCACACGCGCAGAGCCGCCGCAACCAATCACATTCCCATCTTTGATCTTGTATCGGGGGTCTCTCGTTCCCATTCCCGTTCCGAAAGCCATCACAATCAGCCACTTAGCCCATCTCGCAGGGAACACACACGTAGGCGCCTCCAGCAGCAGGTTCTTAGGTGTCCGTCAACGGAGCTCGGAATTCGCCGGACACGTTCGCGGACCAAGATCGACCAAGATCGACCAAGGTGCTGTGGGGGCCACTTAATTCGTTTGATGGCAATGGGCTGACGCCAGCCTCCGCAGCTGTACCGCTACATCATCGATAAGGCGGCGGTCAGAAATTTGGAAATCAAAAGATTCACAGCTCCTACAAGCCGAGGGAAGTGTTAATGGATGTCACTTTAGTTGGATCCCCCGTCCCCACTTTCTTAGCCGCTTGTATTTTGCTTCGATCCACCTTTGGCTGACATTAAGCTTCATCAGACATTCAACTCGATGCTGAATTAGCATACAAATTACACACGAGCACTAGCACTCAAAAAACGCTCTTCGGTATTCGGGTTTCGGTATTGGGTTTTGGGTTTTCGGATATTCGGTCCTCTGACCACAACAAAAAGCCGACAAATTTCGCCCCAAACGCTTCCAAGTGGCAAACGGCTACCGATTTTATTATTGATAATGTTTTGATTTATCACAAAGATATACAAATTGCCACTGCCCCAAAGTTCGGTCGAGGTCTACTCTGTATCTTGCCGCAGGGCGCGGCACTTTTGTGTGTATCTTGTGGATAAACGCTGGGGTATTTCATTCGAGACCATAATTTGTAAGCGGTAGCTCGAAAGTCGATTGTTGGTGTCATTTCGTGCTAAGTTTCATTGTATCTGCACAGGGAGAAAATATAATGTCTATATTAACATGTTCTAAAGTATACTAATCCCGTTTGAATAGTGATTTTATACCAATATCTTAGATAATGAATTTTATGATGTCAATAGATTAAAAAAGTTGTTTAGGATTCTTTTTCTGGATTAAAAGGTGCGCTATGATCCAAAACATGAAAAATATAAACATCGATATGATCATTTCAATATATCATTTATTTTTTGAATTTACCACAAATTAAGGGTAAATCCCTTATCTCAACATGAATGTAACTTTAATAAGATTCATTCTTTACTTACGTATATCTACTTTACGATTTAGACCTTTTAATATACTATTAATATACCACAAAAGACAGGACTTACTTATAACTGTATTTATCAA